ATGGTTAATGCCTCCTCGGGCACCGCTGCTCTCCCTGTGCACATTCCCCCTTCCAGGGGCACCTCCTTATCCCATCCCGTGAGTGTCACCACCCTTTGTCCTCCCCTCCAAGGAGATCCGAGAGTCCTGCGTTGTTTCAAGGTCATTTGCAAGGTGTGGGTGGATTCATGAGCTCGAGGGTCATGGGATCCTTCCAGCTCTCTTCTACAGGGACGTTTAGATGGATTTGTGGTTCCTGAGCAATTTCTAAGGGGATAGAGCAATTCCCTCTGGGAATAAAGCCTGTCCTATGGAAGGGCATCACTTCAGAACCAACCTCTGACAGGCAAGAGGAGAATTGTGCTGCTTGGATTTCTTTGGCTTTCCCTGGCATGGAAAAGTTCCCTAGCTGGGAGGTGAGAGAAAGAAGAAAGTCTCATCTCAGCACCTACAGGACAGTGGAAATAAGAGATGGAATCCTGGATGGAAGTTAAATAGATGTGACATTGCATTAGAGCAAAAGCAGCCGCCTCACAGGGTGAGCTGTGATGTTTGCTGGGAAAAATAACCCCTGTTGACATTCCTCCAGGGATAACGATCCACTGTGGGTCCTTGCTGGGGAGATCGGGTCCAGAGAGAGCCAAATCCACCCAAAACCTGCAGATTTGGGAGTGATGGGCCCAGCTCCAGTGGAAGGTGTCCCTGCCTGTGGCAGAGGGTTGGAACTGGATGAGCTTTAAGGTGTCTTCCATCCCAAACCACTCTGGGATTCTATGATTAGATGCTGATGATTATTGTTATCCCCATTATCCACCCCAAAGCTGCATTTCCCAGCTCCTCCCCAGGGCTGGATGGAGCCAGGAGCATGGATGTGGGGTGCAGAGCTTGGAGGGGATGCAGCCGTAATGGGTGCAGTGGGTGACCTCGCACCCAGCACCCAGCCGATGCTGGTGGTGGGCTCCTGGGGTGCAGCGTCTAGACAAGTGCATCCAGTCGCCGCGTTCCCATGGCAACGCTGCCGGATGCAGGGAAATGAAATAAATAAGTGGGAATGGGGGTGGGGAAACACAGGCGAGAGGAAGGAAAGCCCATGGGATGGGTGGTGGTGGGTGCTGGGTGGGCGATGGGGAGCTGTGCCGAGGACTGTCATCCTCCTGCCCCATCTCTACCTGTGCCCCCAGCACTTGCAGCTGCATCCTGGAGATCTGGGATGCTTGATGATCTCCGAAATCCATGATGCCAGCACTGGGAATGGGGAGAAAGAGGCATTGCAAAGGCCAGGACCCCCCCAAAACCCACGGGTATCACCAAAGGGGTGCAACAACTGGGGAAGGTCCCAATTTGTGCCTCTTTCACCCCACTTTTTGCTCCTGCTGCTCCATCTCAGAGCATCTTCTAGGCCAGGGGCCACATCCTGCTCATCTCCACCCCATAGCATGGAGCGATCAAGGCTCTGGTCCCTTTAATTTCTCTCTGTGATTTCACGAAGGCTTTTGAAGTTGGAAGTAGGTCAAGAACTTGTTTCCAAGTCATTAACTGAAGTCCCCGGGTTCACAGCAGTGTTTGCACCTTCTTAATAGTCAATTCGCTCGCTGGGCACTCATTCCAATTGCAGCCGTTTCCCAAAGTGGAGCCGGGCGGAGTTGGGAGTGGGATCACATGGTGGAAACACCTCCAATAAAGAGCTCCTTGGGCACCTCAGGGGCAGGCGATGGCCCTGGCAGAGGAAAACTGAGCTGTAAACTGCCTCCAAATGAAGTGTGTCAGAGCCTGCAGTGGGGTGCTGGCGGGGCTCAGGGGGGTGCAGTGCCCCGTAGCATCTTTTGAGGATGGGAGCTGGACTTGGTTGTTCCTCCTGGGGGTGGGAGTAGGATCTGGGAGCCCCAGGAGCTTCGTTTGCCCCAGTGATGCTCTTTAAGGTCCTTTCCAACTCAAACCAGGCTGTGATAATTCTATGGTTCTATGACCTGCTACAAGGACATCCAGGCCTGGGCTGTGGGAAACGTCCCTCATGGGGACCAACAGCATCTGTCATCCCCCTTAGGGCCTCTTTGCAGCTCTGCTGGGGGGTATTTTCTCCCTAAACCCCAGTACTTTTTTGCCCCAAGCTCCTAGAACGGGCCATTTCTGCCCCTGTCCCCCCGGCCGGGCTCAGCAGCGGGGGGAGCGATGCTCTCGCAGTATCTTCAGGCTGGCTTCAAAGCGGAATAAACCCCAACAAATCTCTTCAAAATGCAGCGAAATGAAAAGTTAAATCCGCGGCGAGCCTCAGGCATATGGTGTTCGGGAGGGAGTCACCCGGGGAAGGATAATATCCCACCGGGGGGCAGCGCGGCCCCGCTCCGCTCCTGCCAGGGGAGGGCAGAGGCTTTAATTCAGCCCGATGCACAGATGCTGCGGTCAGGGGCAGCCGGGAGCATCCTGCCTGCGCTGCCTGCTCCGGCCTCGCTGGCACAAGGCAGAACTGCAGCCGCATCCTCAGGGCTCTTTAGTCTTTAGGGACAACATATGCAGGGGGAAACATCCCTTTTTTTCCCTGTGATGGAGCCTCTTCATGTCTATTTTTGACTCTTTCCAGGAAAAATGAGGGGGGAACATCCCCTGCCCCTGCCTGGGTGGTTTGGTGAAGACATGCAGGACAAGGGGCAGGTTTGCTCCTGTCTGCAAATGTCAGAGCCACATCCTAGGGAGCCACGAGTTTCCATCCTCTCCAAAAAGGGATATTCTGCCCCCAAATGTCCCAGCTGAAGCCTAAGATGAGCCCTCACTCATCCGCGGAGACACCGTGGTGTTTGCTCCTCATTTTGCCCCTCCTTGGCACGAAGGATTTGGTTTGACCAGGCTCTTCCCACCTCCTTCTCAGCTTGTCCTGGCTCAATGGGTTGGAACTGAGGAGCCATCCAGGTGTAATCCATCACTCCAGCTCCATGGGATGCTCTCAGAGGCTCTTCCCTCGGGTCGGAGACTTGCGGGTACCCAAAACTCAACCTTCACATCCGGCTCCTGCTGAGCAGCTCTGTCAACAGCCACCAGATCGATGGATGGCTCTAACCCCCCGAGCACCATGCTCCCTCTATCATTTATTATTTACATTCCTCAATTTAAAAGATTTACAGCCCAGCTGTATGTCCAAAGGCTGTTTCCTCAGAGAGTTTAAATAGTGTGGAAGTGAATTAAGCTCAATGCAAACAGCCTCGGTCACAGCACCACAGACCCGGGGGGCTGCTCTGTGGCTTTGCATTTCTTTCAATTGAAACCGGGGTCCTGCCAGCATGGATCCAGCAGATCCTATCCCCGGGATAAGGTAGGGAATGGGATACCACAGTCCTGGGCTCTGCCTTTGGTTTTCCACTGACGGGCAGGATGGAGTTGGGCTTGTTCAGCCTGGAGAAGAGAAGGCTCCTGAAGGAGAGACCTTAGAGCAGCTCCAGTGCCTAAAGGGGCTACAGAAAACCTGGAGAGGGGCTTTGGACCAGGGATGGAGGGTCAGGACAAGGTGAATGGCTTCTGCAACTGCCAGAGGGGAGATTGAGATGAGCTCTTGGGCAGAAGCTCTTCCCTGGGAGGATGCTGAGGCGCTGGCACCGGGTGC